CTGCCTGGCAAGTTCAGAGTTTTGAGTTCAAACCCCAGGACCACAAAAAAAAAGTGTAAGATATGTTAGAACTTGAGGATAATAATACAGCTCAGAAACAACAGATTGCATTTCTAAGTGACAAGAGGGAAAGGGGAAAAATAAGTAAATAAAATGCATACTTTAAAATTAGGAAAAGTTTCAAAAACTTATCAGTGATCAGAATAAGTAAAATATCCTCATGAAAGTGTAAATAAGGAAATAATAACAAAAGATAAACAATTAAAAATAAAGATGGTATCAAAAAATTCCAATCATAATACATAGTACTTATAAAAGAGCCACATAAAACTGAAATTAGAGTTTAAAACATAAACATTAGCAAAAACAACATATAATAATAATAATAATAGTAGTGCAAAAGGAAAGCATTCCTAGAATGTATAAGGAAGATGGATCATGCCATGGTCGGCGATCTGGAGAGACAGGGCCCCTTGCCCAACTTCATAAGTAATAAAAAATCCAGGAAGGAAACCCAGGTCTTTTAATTCTTATTATTATCTAAACTTCTGTCAATAAAACAAGCAAGTTACCACAAACAGCAAAGCTAAAGTACCTCAGGAGTGCACAGGCTCTGAGAGGGTGCCTTACCCAAACCCTCCTCCATTCTTAGACACAGCTTCTGCTGGGCCCTCCCTGTGTCAGAAAAGACTATTCAAAGATTATAATGTGATAGTCTTGCTTTTGGTTTGGCATGGAAAGGGGTACATTCTATTTGCCCACACAGAACTTCTTTAATATAATTAACTTACAATATTTAATGTTTTCCATTTTTAAAAAAATCTGAATTGTACATTCTGTGCCAGATCCCAAAATTAGAGGGTCCAGCACCCCTCAGCTAGGACTTTCACAAAATAGCCACTTGCTAATGCAGAGTGTTATTCCCCTGGCTTGGACCCACCACCACCACTGGCCCCAGCTATCACTGCATATGCACTCGCTGCCTTGCAAACGCTCAACCTCTGCACTGAAGGTGGCTGCTTAGACACAGAACTTGTGGTTGGAATTCTTACTAAAGTGATTCCTTGGAGGCAGGTCTTCTGATGTAGAGGCATGAGGTTAATAGACTAGGTCAAGGATCCAAACCAAAGCCAGGATTGGTTTTGTTGAAGAGAAGCATTAGCTTCATACTTGTGTAGCACCACAGAACTGACCCCATCTTGAAGCTAGGGACTCATGGTGGAGAAAGACAGTGTGCTGGGCCACTTGCCTCCCATCTGCCTTGGGAAAGGAACAGCTGTGCACCCTTAGCACAAGGCAGAATGACAGACACACAGGGAGGTACCAGGTGAAGGATCTCGGCCAGGTTGCAGGAGCTCTGGATGACAGGGCTAAGTGCTTTGGGGAACACAGGAAGCTGCATTCCTTTGTAAAAATAAAGAACATTCTTACAAGATTAACATGCAGATATATACAAACACTGGGTCGCTCCGCTCCTTATGGCACCTTCCCAGGCCCTACAAATACATAACTGCTTCTGACCCTTACATTACCTGCTACTCTGCCATATAGCGCAGTCTAGGCTCCCCTCAGGCTTTTTAGGAACCAGATGGTCATGATGAACTGGGAAGCAGCCACACAGTGATCTTTAGGATCATTAAAGACTACACTGAAATACCACGCAGTCAGGGTGGGTATATTAAGAAAAGCATACAGAGAAACACGGCCATACACCATTGCCCATCACATCACGGAGAAAAGTTATTGTTGTGACAACCAATGGGTAGTTGCTTTTATAAGGACTTAATTCTTCACAGTTGTCTTAATTACTTTTATGGTTGCTGAGACAAAATACCCAAAACCCAAAGTTAAGGGAAGAAAGGTTTAGTTAGCTCCCAGTTTGTAGAGATTTCAGTCCATAATCAGCTGGCTCTAAAATGGGATGGTGTGGCAGGCATAGCACAGGAGAAAAAGTGTACAGTGGGCAGAAGACAGCAAAGCAAGCAAGGGAAAAGGGAGAGAAGCCTTTCTGTCCCTTATATTGTATCCAGTCTACTGGGATTAGGGCAGTGCCAATCCAATCAGTGGATTGAGCCAGTAATCCCAGCACTGCACCATGAATCAATCACATACTCTAGATTTAGGCATCTCCAAAAAAATCCTCTGACCGCATGAGGCTCTGGACACAAGTCATAACAACAGTCAATTATTAATTAACCTACAATACCTGTTACAACATCAATAAAAATCAAGGCATAAAACTGGACTTTTTAAAATCACAGAAAATTACTTCATAAACAGACAACTGGGGCTGGTGAGATGGCTCAGTGGTCTAAAGCACCTACTTAGAACAAGCTTAGCAATGCGGTTCAATCCCCCAGCACCACATACCAGCCAGCCCCACCCCCTGGTGGGCTGAGCTGGCCACACACACACACACACACACACACACACACACACACAAAAAAAAAAATAAAAAAAAAAAAACAGACAACTGTGCTAAGGAATTGACTGAATTATAAGAAAATCAAACTTAAGGAGGGTACAGGTCATTGAGCATCAGAGTTTACATACCTCAGAACTGGACAGCCCCGAATCTCCATCATCCAAGTCCCTCAAGAGTTCATCCAGCCTTTTCTTTTCTGCATCACTCATAAGCACTGGGCTTCTGGATTTCTTGGCTAACTAAGAATTTACAAATGAAAAATATGTAGTTCAAAAAAATTAAAATGGGATCTGAAGTTTCTACAATATACACATAATAGTTAAAATGTATCAGATTAGGTAATTCAAATTTGCTAATTTTACTTTTCGCAAATTTATTAGTATATATGTTCATGACACATCATAATTACATTAGGTTTACAGAACTAATTTTATATTAGTTCCCTGCCACCTCTCCTTTTTAAATTGTTTGTATTTTGGGACTGTCATATAAGAGAAACTATGCAATTCTTAATCCGTGTCTGATTTATTTCACTGAACATTATGGTCTCAAAATGTATCCCTTTTCCTGCAAATGACTCAAATTTGTCCTTCACTTTCAGGCTGTAATACTCCATTGTATACCTGTACTACATGTTCTTTACTCATCTGCTGATGGGTTTGTAGGCTACTGACATACTTTAGATATTATAAATTCCACTGCTATAAAATGGGTATATATGTATTATTGTAGTATAATTACCTTAATTTTTCTAGGACAATATGTACGAGAGGAATAGCTAGGCAAATTGAATTTTTACTTTTAGTCTTTTTAGAAATCACTATATTGGTATCCATTGTATTGTACTAAACTTATGTCCCCATCAATGATATAGAAGGTTCCTTTTTCCTCCACATTCTTGCCAACATTTGTTGTTTTTTAGTCCTTATAACTGCCACTCTTACTGGCAATTTCAGTGCTGATTTGCATTGCCCTGATGTCAGTTTGCTTTGCGTCAGTGCTGTGCTGGCCTTCAACACTGAGGACTCATTCCCTGCTCTTTGTTCTGTCCCCCCAGAAATGGGAGGCGGGGTCTTTCTCCCACTCCCTGGGCTCCACTGTGCTAGTCTCCTCCTTTAGGTCCCACTCCAATCAATGCAATTGACAAGGGGGATAACCACCTCCTTCCTGTCATGTGGTGGCATCTGAGCCACAGCTATGGGGGATTTTTGTGCCTAGGCAAAGGCAGGTACTCACAATGGCTTCCCATTCAGACTCTGCTCCAGTCTGTTTTAATGAGGCAAAGAGGAAAGCAAGGGAGACTAAAATGTACCCGATCCAGCTCTGCCCAAATCCTGGGCTACAGAATGGGCACTCTCTCTGCTCTCTGGGCACTTAGGAGCTACAGAATGGGCACTCTCTCTGCTCTCTGGGCACTCAGCTGCAGTCAGAGCTCCAACCTGACTGGTGCTTCTCGGTCCTGAGCTGGACACACTTGTGCAGAGTGCTGTCTTTCTTTTGACAGCTGCATGGGAGAAGGCAACTCTCCTGCCCTGCCGAGCCACCATCTCTCCAGTGCCTGGGTGCAATACTTCAATAGATTCATTTTTCTTTCTAATCACCCATCTTGCTGGATGTCACCTGATTACTTTCACTTCCAGGCTGTAATTACACAAATACTGGTGTACCCCAATTTCCTTTCAGAGCTGCATGCCTGTTGGTTTTGGAGGAATATGCCAAACCATTTATGAACTGGAGTTCCCTCTAGGCAGCCACCTCCCTAGTCTCTTATGCCAATCTGTTTACAATGGGCCATTCTTAAAGTAAAGGTATTTTCAGGTTAAGCAAGTCACATCTTAACCATCTCAATAAAATATTTTATGAAAATAATTAAATTCCCAGCATTGGAGGATGCTGAGGCAAGAAGACTGTAAATTCAAGCCCAGTATATGCAACTTACTGGGACCCTCTCTCAGAATTAAAAAAAAGAAAAAGTAAAAAGGGGGTAGGGATACAGCCCTTTGCTAAGGTCCTGGGTTCAATCCCCAGCACCGCAAAAATAACAAGAATAATAAAACATGAACAGTTTTCAAATATCTCTCTCCTTCTAATACAGCAACCCTTGATTAGTCTGAATCTGCCTGAAAGACAACTGAGCCAGGCTGCAGGATCTGCGGGATCAAGAATGAGTCCCTGAGGCAGGAAGCTAATCAGGGACAGCAGCAGCTGCCAAGAGGCTTGGTGGAAGCTTCGCCAACCCATCCCTGCTGTTCCACCAGGAGCATTTTCCATTACATTTCTAAATACACCAGCTATACAATCATTCTCATTACTTTTTTAAAAAAGTGTTAATAA